AATGTTGCAGTTGGAGATTGTGAAAACGGATCATAATGGTGGGGAGAGCTACAGCATGAGCCCAGCTTCAAGCTCATCAAGATGGCCAAAAGTTGAAGTTGAAGCACTTATAAAATTGAGGACAAATCTTGAAGCTAAATATCAAGAGAATGGGCCAAAAGGGCCACTTTGGGAGGAGATTTCATCAGCCATGAAGAAACTTGGGTACAATAGAAATCCAAAGAGGTGCAAAGAGAAGTGGGAGAACATAAACAAATACTTCAAGAAAGTGAAGGAGAGTAAGAAGACAAGGCCTGAGGATTCAAAAACTTGCCCTTATTTTCACCAGCTTGATGCTTTGTATAGGGAGAAGAGCGGCAACAACGGCAACAACGTCAACAACAGCAAGCTCGATAATATCGTAATCGGATCATCGACGCGGATTTTGCAGCACCAGCAGCAGCCGTTGATGGTGCGGCCCGAGCAACAATGGCCTCCCCAGCAGGAGCTTGCCCGCCCCGACTCAGGCAATGAAGAGATGGAGAGCGAACCGATGGATCGGGATGATAAGGATGAAGACGATGAAGACGACGACGACGAAGAGGGTGGTGGGAATTATGAGATTGTGGCTAGCAAACCAGCTTCTGTGAGTGCTGCAGAGTGAGTGAGGACAAAGCATGCTGTGGCTCTGGGAAAACTCGGGCACGAGTCGGGTCAGGGTTGTCGGGGCGGGTTTCGGTGTGGGAACTGGATTGAATTTGAGGATATTCTTCATACACACACATCCACAGAAGTTACTGAAAACTGATGAGGGGGAAGGGAGAGGAGAGGGGTGTGGGTTGAGAAATTGTAGAATAGAGTCCGGCGAGAATTATATGTTTTTCCATTTTAATAATTTATTTATTTTTTTTGGACTAAAAAGAAATAAGTTTGGGGTTTAGAGAGAGAGAGAATGGAGTTTTAAGTGTTCCACAACAAGAAATAAAGAGAGAGACTCTTTTCTAGTGTTGTATTTTGGCATTTGTGAGATGTTTTATGTAAATTTCAAAATTTGTTTGTCTATTATAATCATTATTAGTTTTTTTTAAATAAATTTCAAAAATAAAATTCATGTGATTATCTCTCTCTCACCATGAAGAAAAAAAGAAATGATATTTATTTTATAAAAAAAATTATGATGTGAATCAAATCGGGATAAAATAAATTATGTTAACTAAAATTTACCTTTTATCTCTATTATTATTATTATTATTATTTTGTGAGTGTATAAAATTTGTAATTATATTCTAGTTTATTAATCTTAGTGATCATATTAATGAGTGAAGTTTAATATAACAAAGAATTAACGTGATGTTGATGTGGACACAATTTTTTTTTTGATAAATGGTAGGGACCATTTAAATTAATAAAGTCAAATATAAAAATAAAATTGAAACTTTTAAAAATAGAATGGAGGCAAAAATGACCTATATGTGAAAAATACATGAACCAAAAGTATAGCGAAGATTAATTAATGTGACGTTGATGTGACAATTTTGAGCATAGTTCTTGTAGTTAAGGTATATATTTGTTCGAATTCTCACTTTCACATGTTGAATTCAAAAAGGAAAAGTAAGTATTAAAGATACGCCTAAACATTTGAAAATTAATAATGTTGTAGAAATTTCAATAGAAAAATTGCATTTAATGTAAAAAAAAGAAATGTTAAGCTAAAAGTAAAATATTATATGTAATTAAAACACATACATATAAAGAGCACAAAAATTTGTATTAATAATAAGAAATATATATATATATTTAAAATAATAATTAAAAATTATGAATACGTATATTTTTGTATTTTATACAATAAGGACATGATGAGGCAGCCCAATATGATCCCACCATATATATTTTTCTTAAAATTTTTTATATCAATTTCACTTGCCCCTATTAGGCTATTTCCCAATAAATTAATGCTATTATTACTATTATAATATTGGTATTATTACGTCTAATATTTAATGTTGTATGGAAAATAATTTTTTAGAAAATAATAATAATTAAAACATTGGGAACTAGTATAGTATATGTTACTTACCTATGATATTTATATATTGCTCCATTAAAGTTTTATACGTTACAAAATTAAGATATGACATCGTCTCCTACGGAAAGGATTATATATGTTTAATTATACATCATTGTATATAAATTGAGAGAGAGAGAGAGAGAGTTGAATTGGTTATATCCCGACCAAAAGATCGTTGGATTTGAACGGATCTTTCAAGAGATATTTGAATCAATTGAGTTTTTCTACCAACGTGAGCATAGCTCAATTGGTTAAAACATGTTGAACGGATCCCGCCCTAACATGTTGTTGTATTAAAGAAAAAAATATACTAATACCTAAATATTAATTAATCTTGACCTATACAACGACTTTAACGAATTTACTAACATCTTAATTTCTTGTCCAAAACATTACCCATGTCTAAACAAGTTAGTTTTCCTCACGTAGACACAAAGTTAGTTACCAATGTTTTGATCATCCACAAAACAATCCTAACTAAAGCACTGATATCTCAATGAATCAAGTCTCTCAACATCTTCATCTACAAAACTCCAACAAAGTCACCAATTAAGTTTTTCACACTTACAAGGCACAAAGTTATTAATATCTCAACCAATTGATAACTCCTCCAATCTAGCAGATACCAGAGAGACAGAATTACTATATCGAACAAGTACGATTTTTTCTGAAAATTAAAGAGAGAGAGAGGGGGAAGGAGGGTAGAAAGTAAATAAAGAGGGAGAGATGGTAAAAAAGAGAGGAGAGAGAAAAAGAAGGGACAATGAAGGGTGAAGGGTAGAGGGCCTTTAGAATAGTGGGGTTGGGGATGTCAAGTTGGGAGGGCATCACATGTAGCCATGAAAATGGACCCTTTGGATAACATATATATGTATATTTGTAGGATCAATGGCCCCACGCCCTTTCTTCTACCTTCTTCTCACTCTCACGCCTGCCATGCAAACAGTCTTCTTCTCACTACCACACTTTTTTCTTTTCTTCCCAATACAATAATTCACCACCACTTCCCTTTTAACATCAATTCTTTTAGGTCACTTATTTCCAAATTCCATATCATAATCCATCCTTCTAGGTAGAATCATGTTTGCAAAAATCTTTCTATTCAATTTGATCTATGACGTATTACAACGATCCACTGGTCCAGGATTCGGTATCTAATTGTCTCAATATCCCCTACGACCTAAGATACTTAGAAGAGCGAAGACCATCCCTACATACCAACACGAGTTCTTTTAGGATGTTTTGTCCTTACTTACATGCTTCCTAAAAAATCTCTTAGGAGATTACCCAACCCAAGTACGCTCTTATGATTGAGCCACTAAAAAAGAAAGGTGCACATTGTTGCTATAAATAGTAACTATCAATTGTTCTAAACATTTCTTAACCATACTTCCATGATCTTAAGATCCCTAGCTCTCATTTAGATGTGCTATCCATTCATCCATATACTTCCCCTCTCTACTTGAGCGTTAAACGTTTATATTATTCTCTCTTTCTTACCTTGTGAGCTCGAAAATTACTGAGAGAAACTCAGCAGGTGGTTGAAGAAAGAAATCAAAACTTTAGATATAAAAACTTTGTCGAAATTTTAAAGAGTTCTAGGTTCGAATTTGTGACATGTAATGAACTTATTTTAATTACTATATTAAACTCACAAGTTACCACTGATTAATCTTAAAAGTTTTAAATTCTTATATCTATACCTATTGAAAATCATGTCACCGATATATGGGGCGCTGAAATTAAATAAATTAAATAATCTAAATATGATCAGTTAAGTTGATAAAATTAAACCCATTTCATATTGTAAACAAATAATTATATATATTTCTTCCCATTTTGACCCTTTTTAACAGGTCCAATTTCTAATCTACTGTCAACTCTCATTCCCAGCTTTTGGAAGAAAAATGGAGAGAGAAAGAGATAGCATTCATGAGGGATAAGAATGGGAGCATTTTTTCATTGACTTGAGAAATGGGGAAATTTGTGTGGCATTCAAGATGTGGACCTCTGATTGTTTTATTTATTTCTTTTTTAATTTTGCATTTCTTCAAAATTATTATTATTATTTTTTTTTGTGGATAGCAATAAATATTCTGTTACAACTTCAACAGTGTTTCTCAATTATAACATCAATATTTTATGTACATAGCAAAGACATAAATAACATCATTCTCAACGTAACTATTACTAGCACGATTAAAACATTTTACTCTTTCATTTAAGGTGGAAGGTTCTCTATTAAAAAAGAAAATACCTATTACTAAAAATTAACTTACAAGTCATATTGAAACTTGAAAATGTGAGAGAAGAAGAGAGATTTAAATAATTCAAATCTCTCTCTCTAGATTTATATGTTGTATTTGTCTCTTTTGAAGCCTTTTTTTTTGTTCTCTTTTCGAAAATATTTATAATTAGAGAACATTGACAGAATGAGGAGGGCCTTTTTGTTCATCACAAAACATTTGGGAGAAAAAAGAAAAAGAAATGCAAAAAAGAGGAGAGTTTGGTGGTTGGCACAAAGAGAGGTGTTTGTCGTTGTCGTGTGGGATAAACCCTACTTTTGGACCATACCCCAGAAGAAAAAAAAAAAAAAAAAACTTGGCTTGAACTCATTGTATGGATGTGATTTTTGGAGTTTCTTTTGCTGAATTCATAGGGCTCCCCCTCCCACCTTTTTAATCATATTGCTCCCTTTGTGTCTCCATGCCCCAAACTCTTCAAACCCTCCACCATACACTTGTGTTTCCCTCACTTCTCATTCTTATCATTCACATATAGCTTTTGAGAACCAAAAAAATAAAAAAGAAAAAACTTTCATTATTTGAAATGTATGTAAAGATGTAATAAGATGTCCCGTCATCTTCGTTTTTCGATTTTTACCTCAACGTTGATATAGTCTAATTTTGTTGAGGTGAACTTCATACTAATTTACAAACAAGTAAGTGTAAGAATTCATAAAAATAATTTTTAGGATTGTCAAGATCCATTTTGTAAATATGCTCTATAAACATGGTCTTCAATATTACAATTGTAATCGACAATTCTAGTTTTTAAGCCATAATTTATCGGTAATTTTTCTAAATTTTCTTATCTATTATTATTTCTCAAGATCACAACTTTATCGATTTTCTCATATAGTATCTATATTTGGATTTCAAATTAAATCTACAAGAATATTAATAAAAAATAAAATAAAAAGTTAAACACATAAAATACGAATGATAATAATTATATGTATTAAAGCAGTTGAAACATGACAATTTATATTTTAGTCCAAACTCTTACTAACTATTATATTTAAAATAACATCAAATAGTCAAATTCGTAGTATATAGGACGTAAAGTTAATAAAAATTTACTTTAGATGATGAATGTCCAAATTTTCAATTTTTTTAAATCGTGCCAAATTGAAAAGTTCATGGGGGCTGATAATTAAGAAGCCATTGAACCAAAGGGAAATTTTGTTAACATATGTAGAACGTTAAATACTTATTCTTTACTTTAAAAAGTTCGGGGGGGCTCGAGCCCCCTCTGGGCCCAACGTACATCCGCCCCTGCTCGTATCGATTGGAGTTGGGTAGAGAATTTGGGACATATAAGTTAGGATAACATCTTTATTCATATGTAATTGTCTAAAATATAATAGATAATATTTAACCATGCTGTTGTGAAAATATGGAGAGACCTGTTACATATTCTAATACTCCTCCTTTTATGATAGAGAGAAAGTAGGGAATAGAGCAAAATAAGAAGCTCTAACATTCTTCAGGAGGATGAGTAAATCATACGCACAAAGAAGATTCAACCATAAATATTTATACGATGATAAATGGCATAAAAGGTAAGCAAAGATACATTTTTTATTAATCAATTCTATTCAAAGGGAAATTTTGATTATTACTTGTTCATTTCCTCATCATAATACTCTTGTATTACTC